TATCAAACAAAACTTTGTTATCTAAAACATTCGTTTAGTTTGATAATTCCACCATTATATTTCGTACATTTCACTATACTAATGAACATTTTTTGTTCCGTAGTGGTACCAATATGAACTGATTTTTTTGGTTTAGATTCCGTTTAGATAACAACAAGCAAATAAAGTTGTAAATTGATAGAACTTTATGAAATTCATATATAAAAAAAGATAATGTTTAGTATTGTTTACGAATCAAAATTGATGACTTGCACCATATTATCTACTACTAGTCTTCACCTACCAAGTATTGAGTCACCAACAAGGCAACAACAGGCTCACTTAAAAAAAAACAAGGCAACAACAATACAACATCAAGGACATAAAGGAGTGGATTTTCCGACGACCAGTAAAGTATTTTCCGGTGAGATGCTTGCCGGAATATATTTAACTAGCTTTGAATCTAACCCATGTTGCTTAACCCACTTCATCCTCCCCGCATCGATAATCTGCTTGCATTTAAACCCTAAAACAGCTCTTTCCATGGGTTTCATTTTCTTCACAACTTCCTCCACACTGCTCAAAGAATCATCTTCCACTTCTTGTTGCTCCTTTGCACTGTCATTGACACTACAAGAACAATCCAAATGTAATTAACTCATGAGAAGTAACTTCCTTTAGATCTTTAAATCCAAAAAAAGTTTACTTTGAAGCAAGAAGGTCGGGTTCATCAACACCGGGAAGAGTGGAACCATGATCATCATCTACAGCCCAGCTAGTGAACCAAGTCATGGTATGGAACTCGTCTTTGGACATCCCGAGGCTATAGATATATTCTTTATCTGTGAGACAAGAAAAAAAAAAGAAAGAACAATATTCCTGGTTAATTGGAGAAGTTCTATAATAGTCTAATAGACCAGAGAAGAAGAAGTAGTGACTGTGATTTTACTTATGTAGCTTTTCCATTGGCAAAGATGATGGCAACAAGTCGCAATAGCGAGACCTCTCAGAACCGGGCTTTCACCATCTTGTCTCGATAAGCAACATCGAAGGCTCAAATCTAGTATCAACACATACAAATGAACATTAATTAGCAACATAGAGACGCTCATAATGAATTGGAAATCTAAATCGTAAGAAGACATAGGCGTGTAATGACCTGTTGCAGGACCACATAGATGTTTCCCAACAGCCACATAAGGAACACCGTGTAAAGATTCAACAGCTTTAAGGTTAAAATCCTCAACTGAAAACACAAAAAAGGTTTAATTTTTCAATCATTCATACAAAACCCGGAACAAGTTAAACAAGAAAAGGTATTAGATTTAAGGGAACCATACTATCAATTCTCATACGCTCTAACACCAAGTTCTCCTTCTGCCTCAATGACCGATCAGCCTAGAAGTAGTCAAACAAATGTTGTTTGAGATATAAGGTAAATTACTGAAAAGAAACGAAATGACCAAAAAACGAGCAAGCTCAACCAACCTTAAGCTTATAAGATTTCCTCTCAACTAAATACACTTTTTTGACCCCATAGCAATCTGCTAGCATCTGCGTTAAGTATCCTCTCCCCGCACCAAACTCAACAACCGCAGACACATTATCGTCTCTCCCATCCACATCGATTTCACAACATTCCACATTTTTGTCGAACCTCTTCAATACACCAATCTTTTCCAAATTACCAAGAATCGAACCTTGCTGCAAAACATGTTTCTCTTGAAACGGTAACTTCCTACACCAACAACCCGAAACTCTCAGTAAAAAGGAACTTCCCCTCTCACTAACCAAAAGCTCCAAACTTTTTTAAACCATTACCTATCTATCTCCTTATTAAACCATATGTTACAAGCTTCAGGCGACAAATACGAATCTTCGATACATATACTGCCATGAACCGTCTCAATTATCTTAATTAGCTGATGAAACTTAGAAACACTCATACTATAGAGCAAATTCCTCTTCATCCCTGAAGTAACAACATAA